ACAGTTATACAAGAAAAACATAACCATTCCTTGGCAGTCGGCTAAGAAAGCTGTCAAGTGTTCCCTTATTAGATTGTTATGTCGACATAAACTGATAGGACGTTACTGATATGTTCTGTGACGTGCATATCTAATATATTAAAATATGAAAATGAGTTTGTTTGTTTGTTACGAACCTAAACCACTAAACTGATTTAAAAAATATTTCGCCAATGGCAAGCCGCATTATTAGTTAGTAACATAGAGCTATTTTTTACCGCGTAACCGACATATGCGCAAGCGAAGCCGCGGTCAATCTGTCTCTTCTCTCTGGTAACCTCACTCAATCAATGAAAAAATTACTATACTGCTATAATTATAGTATCTGTTACACCACGCTGTGTCAAGTCATATCAAGCCAAGCCATTTGACTAAGTCAAATGAAGCCAAGTCGGACGCCGAGCCCGCCATTAGTCGTCGGTGACGTCATATCCAACTGTCAAACCATAGTTATAAACATGTGTACACTTGGATAAGTCATAACTCTTGCCAAATTATATACGTATACAATTTATAAGTGTAGTCATTGATGAATTCAAACAATTGATTAATAAGTAACATTGTTTTGTCTATTGAATTTACTACACTTCTAATTTTTTAATTGGAAACCTAATTTAAACTCAGTTTTATGTTGCGGGACTAAACTATTTATATCGACAAGGTTCTAGCTACGAATGGCTAACTTATCTTAATTTTTTATTAATTACTTTATTAAAATATCAAACAATATAAATTTATGAAATTACGAAAGTTATAAAACAACTAGGTCGAAAACTCACAGAAGTAAATAGTGACTCCCGCTCCGGTTCATTCCTAGTGCAAAGATTGGCCATTGTCATTCAACGCGGCAATGCAGCAAGTATGATAGGCATCTATCCACCAGAAACGATCAGGAACGGGTTAATTTAATAAAAACCTTGTTTGTATACATTTGCTCGTTCTTATGCCTGTGTCTGTACCTACTATATTTTTTGTAAACTTCACTTATAAGTATGTAATTTAAATAATGTATATAAATTGTATAATGTGCGAATATTACATAAACATGTAAATGAATTAATTTGTTTTTTTTTTACTTTAACTCAATAAATAAAAATAAATACTTTAACTATTATTGCCGTTCGTTACATATCACTCCGATTGAGCCGGCACATAAATTGAACCTTGCATCTTGCTATCTGGCGACTAAAGCTCCAATCGTACAATCCCTTTATACACATTTTAGGGGGATATAATAATAATATATACCTCACACATCTCACACACGGCCGTCTGATTCCAAACTAGGCAGAGCCTGTGCTATGGTAACCAGACTGCTGATAAACATACTTATATATTTTTAAATACATACATATTATAGATAAATTACACCCAGACACAGAACAAATGATCGTGCTCATCACACAATATTTGTCCTGGGTGGGAATCGAACCCACGACCTCCGGCTTAGCAGTCAGGGTCACTAACCACTAGACCAACAGGCCCGTCATATAACGCGTATAAACGGTTAAAGGGAGGTCAGGATAAGTCAGGATTATGATAAATGCCTTGTCTACTTAGCCCATACGGCGTAAGGCGTATGCACACCTACAAAAACATTTTATAGTGATATTTCTTAGACGACCACCCCCGCGTCTACGCATGCCTCTGACTAATACCAGCCGCAATTTTCCGTCATCGTTCCATACGGCAAAATTTTCATCCTTATTACCTGGATAGTTGGCGCTCCACTACTGTGCGCTTTTCGGGACAATTTTTGCCCCGCACAACCAATCTGGGGAACGGGTTATCTTCTGCGGTATTTCCGGACCGATACGACCTTCAAACCTTCAAGAAAAGAGCGTACTCCTTCCTAAAAGGCCGGCAACGCGTTTGTGACTCCTGAGTTGCAGACGTTCATGGGCGGCGGTGGTCACATTCCATCAGGTGACCCGTATGATCGTCTGCCCCCTCTAATATAAAAAAAAAATCTTAATAGGATCTAAATATCATCTTTTAGGATTTTTGTTACTAAAAAATTCATTTTTGAAGTTAAAGCCAACAGATACAGAGCACAAAACAGTTTAGGTAGGTATATTAAAAAGATATTAACAGATGATTCTTCGTTCCGGGTCATTGTAAGTTATACTTTTTTTTTACCTATAAAAATATAACCGTGGGAGAGCCATGTTTTTTACAAATGGGAAGGCTTGACCGGAGTGATACCACGGTCTCTCAGAAAACCAATGTTAAGTAAGCAAGTCCCCTGTCCCACTGGTTCTAGGGGAGAGATTCAAACGGCGCATCTTTCTCAATGTATCGCAAGATTCAACGCACTTGTCTATTGAGATGCATTGCAGCCTGCAGGTGTCAAGTGTCATTTTATCACGTCCCTGATTAAAATAATACCTTTTATAGCGAAATTCTCATCAACCTATCGCCGTCCACCGCTGAACCACGGTACAATTATAATACACAATTATTACAATTGTACAAGTACAATTGTAAAAGTACAATTATTATAATTGTACCGTGGCTGAACGAATGTTTTTTTTTGTACAAGCTATGAATTATATTTTTGCAGGGGAACAATAAAGCAGAAGAATATAAGGACGAATTTTATTCTGATACGCGTATTAATAAATTAAATATCTAGCCAAGATTTTATGAACTGCTTTCTTGCCGACATTCGTTTTAGTTTATCACCTATAAAAGGTAGAGGTAAATATTGAGTGTACAAATACCCTGATAGATAAGGATCACCAGCAGCTACCCTTCAGGTCAAACGCCCTGAATTGAAATCTGTCGTTAACCTAAATTTTGTAGTATTCTGGAAAATATATTATCCACATTTTAAAAAAGAAAATAAAAGGAGAAGCTAAATATGTAAAGCAAGTAAATTCTAGAAACTGACAAACAAAAGATCAATATATTACATTATAGTGCCACCAACTTATCTGTTCAGTAGACGGCGTCGCTACTGGAGCGATAGGTGTTGCTATTTAAAAAAAATATCAGGAGTTTAGGATATTTGAAACATACGAAATCACGTGAGCTGTAATTTTAAATATTGATCGGAGTTTATTAATTAACTATATAATTTATAAATTAGTTGAAAAGAAAGAAATATTTTGTTTTGCAAACAGATAATACGATTTATTATACCTAACTAGTTACATTATATTTTATAAAAATAATTGTGGTCGTGATATCAGTTTCCCCTGGAAATTGATATCTTCTCTTAAAATGTTCAATAGCTTGGTTACAGAAGGAATTTCTTTTTTTACTGAATAAAATTCATGGGTTTTTCTCCTAATCACACCAATATCAAAGTCATCAACTTCTAGTTTCCCTGTTTTCCTTTCCCTGTTTTTACCAGGTGTACATATTTTAGTATTAGTTTCTTCAGCTCGTTTTTCTTCATTCATTAATTTATAAACAAATCGCTCACTAACACCTGTAACAAAAAGTGGCTCATCAAACTTAAGAAATAATGTTATTTTTTTATTTATTCGGGTGGAATAAACAGTGAACACAATGTAGGTATACGTTTAACGTTTATGAAAATAAAGAATAGTAAAATGGTGCACTAGTTAGTAGTAGTGGGGGCGACGTATCAGTTTTATTTCTAATTTTAAGTGGATATATATAGACAATAAAATATGAAACATAAGCTGAATATTAAAATAATTTAAGTGCGAAATTTTACTGTCCTTAGACTATAACACTAACCTGTAGCGGCAGCAACACGTTGTGGCACTTTTTCAAATGGTATTTTTGGAGATTGGAGGCGTTTTTCTTCGTTCATAAAAGATAAAACTTTTAAAATAATAACTCTAGCATCACTTTTAAGAGCTTTCGGCATTTTAATTGTAGTTTTAATAATAAAATCCAATGATAAACACAGAGAGCACCCACACCTTGTAAACTGACACGCAGATTGACGCAGAATCGCGTCGCAGATTTAGTTCCGATTTTGTCTACTGAACAGATAAGTTGGTGGCACTGTACACACTAGTGATGCGCAAAATGTATCACAGAGCTGAAAAGATTGATATATATCATTTCGCTCAAAAGATATATATCACTCATCTAGCTCATTTAGCTCACTAACTCGTTTAGCTCACTAGCTCATTTAGCTCACTAACTCGTTTAGCTCACTAGCTCATTTAGCTCACTAGCTCATTGATCCGATTTAATTGATTGGTCTCACTATTAATTCATTTCTTCATCTAGATCGTTTAGCTCAGTATACTCGTATATCACTCACTTTAAGCCTCTCTCGCCATACAAACCTTTCTTTATTTTCATATTAACTTTCATATTAAATAAAATTAATTCAGTTTTTGAAACTACATTTTTGACCTATTTTTTTTAAATACAATTTTATTAATTTTGATAAGATTACATAATTATTAACATCCTTTTACATAATAATTAAAAATAAGAAATTATTTCTTGTACTTTGTTTAGGTTGTATAATAGAAATCATACATAATTTAATTTTCCTTGTACTTGGCTTAATGCTTAAGTAATATTAAACTTTGATCCTATAGAAATAATGTACATTTTGCATAAAGAAACCTGCGTGAACTCAACCATCATCTATCTCACTCATTTATCTTTAGTCTCACTCGCTCATGAAACAAAGATCGGCGTCGTTGAGCTAGTGATCTAGTGATCTAGTGAGCTAGTAGTGAGTTACTGATATATTCGGAGCTAGTGTGAGTGAGTGATACATTTTATCGTCGTGAATGATATATATCTTTTATATCACTCACTCAGGAGCTACACAACTCTAGTACACACTTTTATCTGAAACGTATAACGAAACGTATCATATTGATTGAAGTTAAAAATTCTGATTTTGGGGTTATTTCTTGAAAATAATTACTTCTTTCTTTAGCGAAATAATGCTGTTAAATGACTGTAAAGGCAACAATTAGACAAGACACAGTATAAAACATAATTTAAAGTTCAGAATGTCGGATATAGAAGAACCGCCGAGTAAAATGTCTAAATACGAGGAGGTGAGAGATGTTTAAAAACGATTGTTTTTAAAATTTATTTAGACGAAAGTATAAAAATATATAATATTGCGAAGAAGTGTGAAATATAATTTAATTCTGTACTAGCTAGTGTTTATGTTGAACTTGTGTAAAGTGTTACAAATCGTGTTCATTCTTTTCTTAGATTCCCACGAATTACTAATATCTGGATCATTATATCGATAAACAAAGCATTTGGTCTCTTTAAGACAGAAAAGAGAGCATTAGAACCGCCAATTACAATAATAAACCTTAATGTTTTAACCTGTTAATAATCACTGTGTTTGTACTGGAATTTATTATGATTTAGAGATTTATTAAATAAAATCTTCATTTTTAAATTAAGTAGTTTTAATTATTAAACAAAGCATTTTAAATAGGTATTATAACAAAGAAAAATGTAGTATTATGATCAATAACTTTTAACACATTTTTTTAAAATGAATGCAATGGTATTGCTTTATTTCTGTCAATAAAAAAATACTTTACATTTTAACACTGAACTAAGGATACAAAATTTTAATTATTTTACTTCTATGTGATTTAAAATCTGTAAAAAAGTGTTATAGTAGGCCAAAACCTCCTTTCTAAGGAGAGGCCTATGTCCACCAGTGGGCCAATAAAGGCTGTTGATGATGATGAGGTTGATGATTTTAACATTTGATGTTTAATTTGCTGATCTAGGTACTAATACCTATAACAGCGTACCTAATAAATACCTCAGTGATTATTAGTTATTTTAAAAGAACTTTTCTTTCTTTATATTAGTTATTTTACAAGGAAATTAAAAATTCCATGTCTGCAACTACATAGCAATTCCCCTCTAGGGCTTCTCGCTTCTTTAGGCTGTGATTCTATTTCTACAGTTCACATTTTTTAGGCAGTCTATACTACAAACTAAACAAAAGCATATCCAAGATTTAAAACCAACCTGACATTAACCTCTGACATGACACCCCTCCTTCTGACATGGCATTACACCATACAGTGCTTTCACCGGTAACCACTGTACAGTGTAGCGGCATGTCAGAGGTTAAAACTTGACTAGTTAAGTCTAGGCGTATTATAATCCCATACCATAGAATCTTACATCCCATAGAAGCTTCCTTTATCTATTATCCTTTCTTTTTTTTTACTGTGCAAAAATCCCCTTGGCTACCACCTACTGGTGGCTATGTCGGACTGGAACCGACTAAAATCTGTCTCTGGTAAGAGTAGCCGGGGAATCAGGTGTACCTTAGAAAAGGAAATCTCTGGTACCCTGACGTACCGCAGGCCATCTACGGTGGGTAGATGACCCTCTATCTATTATCCTGGCATTTCACTGAAGTAGGCATGACACATATATTTAACTTTTATGAGATTCTTAGTACTGAAAAAGGATAATCAATCTTAAACATAGGATTTCGAGGATGCTGACCATTTTCCAGAAAAGGCATTTCTTGTTGACTTGACCTGGAACCTTTTTCAGGCACTTCACAGGTAGTCCCAAAACAGAGATGAGAATAAAAGTGGTTTACTTGTTTGTTTCAGTATTTGGATGAAACAGAGGAGGGCTTGGAAGAAGGACAAGAGGAGTGGCTCAGCGAAGGTGTCTTAACTGATGATGATTATCACATTTCAACAGTAAGTTAAACACATTAGTTTTTACGTGAAAGAGCCATGCTTCGGCACGAATGGTCCGGCTCGACCGGAGTGATAGGAATATATCCAGCAGTGGACTATAGGTTGTTGATGATGATAAGTAGGTTATATATATATTAGTAAAGATGTCTTTCAAGTGTCTAAAAATATATTTTTGGATACCCTCACCGACCAAAAAGACTTGCATTCGTATCGATCAACCCCTACCTGATCAATCAGGTTTCAAGAAATGGTAGTTTCGTACGAAAGCTTGTAACCTGATTGGTCAGGGTGCATACATTGCTCAAATACAAAATAGACATACATTCTCCCACAAATCCTCCTACGAAATAGTGTGGTGACGGATTAAGAACACAGAGTGTCACCACGACTATTCATCTTGTGGGTGTCGTAAGAGCCGACTAAGGGAGAAAACTACGCAGAACAACAGCACTGCAGAGAGAAACTTGGCAAAGGCAAACTTGACACACACCCTGTACCAACCCGTCTGGCCAGCGTGGTATAGTAGGCCAAAACCTCCTGTCTAATTCTGAATGTTGATGAATCTTCCACAAATCTCCTACAAATCCTCCTACGAATCTCCTACTAATAGAGCTTGATGTTTTTATATAGTTAACATGAATTACTGCAGAGGACTCAGACTTCCTATCGATAGCCAGTTCAAGTTTACAGACCTTGACCTGTTAGAGATATTACTAAATGGTTAAACAAATTTTTTCAATTACAGCTTTAAAAAATTCAAACTACCATAACAATATTCATTGAAAATACTTCATGCCTTCTTTGCGTTTCTAAAGCATAGTTTTAATTTTTTTTCGGCTCCACCTGATACGTCACACCCTTACCACAGTCGCGAACCGTCTGATGGCTTAACTGTGCATACAACTGTATCTAAGCACAGTTTAGTTGGTGTCATTATCAACGCATATAATAATTACATTACAGTGGGTTTATCGGTTAGTGACATAAAGCCGTGTGATATATGCGAATTAAAAAAGTAGCCATTTTTTTTATATAATATAATTTTGTAAACTGTCCTCCTTATTGCAGGCTGATCAGGACAAGACTGACTCTAATCTAGAGGAGACGACGCAGGAAGACCATGATACTATGACGAGCAACCCAGAGATGGAGACTTTAGACGAGACTAACGGATCAGAGAAGGGAGCTGACCAGAAATTAGAAGATACCCTGAACAATTTGGATTCGAAGCATGAACTGCCAGAAGATTTAGATGCATTCCTTGTAAGGTATGTTGATTTGTGCCCAGAGGAGCAACGTCATTTTTCCCTTCCGTCCAACATTTTTTATTAAACATTAATTAAACATTATATCTTAAACTACAGGACCGGAGTGACACCACGGCTTCATAGAAACTCGGTGTTAAGCAATCCTTTCGTTGCATTCATCGAGTGACGAGTGAGTGAAGAGTTGAAGGGGGGGGGGAGGGGGGACCTTCCCCCCTTCAACTCTTCACTCAAGGTGATGATGCATTTGTATCTTTTGAATCGCAATTGCCTGTAGGTGGCGGTCACAAGTCACCTTTAAGTTACCCGTACAACTGAAAAAAAAAAGAATTATGATATTAGAAGCGGTATATTGCGTATCCAGCCTTCCTCTGTGACATCCCTCGTTAACCAGACATAATTCTTCTTCCACAGAAAGACTGACCTCCAATCATTAGAAAACAAGATAAAAAAAGAAATTAAAGAAGACGACGATGGGAATGACACAGACGATCTTCTGGTGAGTTCTCCTGCAACTGCTTTGTGCCATAATAGAGTCTGATGTCTGTCAAGACATCAACATTAATTTCGGCCATTCTCCTAATTCTATGAGCTCATCTACCTGACCTGTTACCTGTTATCTTCCGTGCAGAGCACTTTTTTTTTACGATCATTTGTTGAGTCTGGTTGTACTTTATCTATAGTAAAAATGTATTTATTTATTCTTTTTGCACAAATAACAGTTACTTGTACAATGGCGGACTTAATGTCACAGGCATTTTCTCCCAGTCTACCGTTGGGTGGTGGGAAATGTCTGAGTAGGTGCACTACAAATTAAGTTTTTTGTTTTCAACAAGATAATAATAACTGAGGAGATACATACATACATACTGAAATACACATACACATTTACTTGCTGAGTTACATACATACATATAGACATAAATAATCATCAACAGCCCTTAACAGTCCACTGCTGGACATAGGCCTCTCCTTAGAAAGGAGGTTTTGGCCTACTATACCACGCTAGCCAGGTGGGTTGGTATAGGGTTTGCGTCAAGTTTTCCTTCTCTCTGCAGTGCTGATATCCTGCGTAGTTCGCTCCCTTAGTCGCCTCTTCACCACGGGAGGAATAGGGGTGGTGACACTCTGTATTCTTAATCCGTCACCACACGGACACAAATAATACGATATGTAAAACTTTAAGGATGTGATAAATCTGCTAGTGTCTAGAATTCGAGCTCGAGTTTCGTCTTAAATGAGAGGCGGCTGGGTGCTATCCGGATTTAGAGAGGTAGAGCTTTGCAGAGGAGGACAGATTGGATTAGGAACGAAGAGTGGACACACGCGAAAGTATGAGTGGGGCGTAACAGAAGCGGATTGTTTAAGAAAGGAAAGGTTCTGTTGTGATTGGAACATAGAAGTTGGAATGAGAATGTCAAGTAGGAAGGGGAAATAGGTGAATTGAGAATGGTGAGCGCGCGCAGCTGACGGCGCTGGCGAATCGTGAGCCAGTTCGATTCGTTATGAAAGGAGGAAACATGGTCGTATTTGCGAAGTTTAAAGAGGAATCGAATGCAGTTATTCAGAAGGCTGTCATATTTATTGAGATCTGCATTCGGGTCACAAGCTATACATCACTATAATCGAAGATAGGGACAATAAGGGTCTATACTAGCATCGCTATTGTCTCGGATGGAAGTTCTTAAGCTGATAGAAGGCCCGTAGCGTACCTGTAACAGTCTGGCTGACGCTGGTGACCTGGAAGTCGATAAATAGGCCTAGGTTCTTTAATAGGACTGAAGGGAATGACTACGACGTTAAAAGTAATGGGTGGCAATTTGTCTCGGTCTATCCTTCCAGTCGTACTGACTATGATGATGGCTTGGGACTTCGCTGCGTTCACAGCCAAAACAAATCCATCAGCCCAACTGTTAATAGCTAGGTCCATGTAATTGTTAACCATAAAAATAACCTCGTTTATGTCGTCTATCGAGGCTTGATAATATTGCTGCAAGTCATCGGCATGAAGATGGTACGCACATTGAAGGTTCGGAGTGATGAGACTTATAAATATTGAGAATAATAGAGGAGAGAGAATGGCCACTATGATTTTATATTATGTTAACGCCAAGGCACTGTCATTCCATTGACACGCTATTGTTATGCTATTGAGATGCCGCTGACATCGGTCAAAATATCGGTATTCTACTAACATAAATTCAGTGTCAATAGACTGTCGATATAGTAATATAAGTCATCAATGGTGACATCAACAACATTGCTATATCAGGAAAATGAAATATATCATTTTCTTACAAATTTAAAATGTATCACGGCGTATGATGAGATTGATAAATATTGAGAATAATAGAGGATGATGAGGAGGAGAGATAAATAGTGAGAATGCCACCTTTATTTATTTAGTAATATGTAAGTGTGTTTATCAGCAATCTGTTACTATAGCTGAGGTGTCTCAAATAATAATAGTAATTATTATTAACAGCGTCTTCTAGAAGACAATCAGCAAGTAAAGAAGAAAGCTATAAAGCTAGTTAAGACTGGGAAGAACGAAAATCAAGTGTCCAGTGACGATGACGAGTTTATTTACGAAGTAAGTGTACATAATATACAGGGTGTAAGGGACGGTGTAACGAATACTGAAACAGTGTATTCAGACCATCATTCTGAGTCGAAAATCATTCGAATTTTCTGACGGAAAATTAAATATTTAATGCAATCAGCTGTCAAACGTTAAGGTCCTACCCGTAGGTATTGCACAAACTTAATAACTACATTTGTATACCGTGCAAACAGTCTACTCACACACGCGACTCAGAATGATGGTCTAAATACACTATATCAGTATTCGTCACACCGTCCCTTACACCCTGTATAACTAAAATTACCGCAATTTTCGCAAGAAAGGTGGACAAGGACGTATTCAACACCTATATTTTGAAAACTGTAACAACCAATCACCAGGAAATGAAAAATGGGGAAATTAGGAAACTCTAAATAACCTTATCTTACATCAAGTCAAGCCTATTGCGCACTATGGGTAGCTACAAGGAGATGGCCTCATCGAAGGGTCGAACTAACAACATACACTTACACTCACGTCTTATTTCCGTCTGGGGTAGGCAGGGATGTTGATTTTGACACAATCCTGATATACATACAGTATTAATCAATCCTTGCATAGATGCCCGCCGGTTACGGGTGCATTTGAAGTGCCCTTCTTCAGTACAGAATTTTTCGAGGCCTGCACCGGCTCTCCTATTTTAGTTATTCTCTCTTCGCTGATCCTTTCAACATGCTCAACCCATGGTTTGTGCAGTGCCGAAATAATTCATTGTTACAGTTATTTTTAACTGACGAAGTCAGGTTTGTCTTAATTGTGTTTGTAAATGTTCATGCACATTGTTGCTGTGTGCGTGATTTACTTGTGTCTTTTTCTTTCACAACAACTGGGCCTTAATTTTACTATTTTATATTAACGCCAAGCCACTGTCATTCCATTGACACGCTATTGAGATGCAATTGAGATTCCACTGACATCGGTCAAAATATCGGTATTCCACTAACATTAATTCACAACGTCAATTGACTGTCGATATAGTAATATAGGTCATCAATGGTGATATCAAACAACATTGCCATATCATGAAAATTTAATTATCTTATATGATTATCTTACAAATTTAAAATGTACCGTTAACCAAACTGTTACAAAGACATCGACGACATTTGTATTAGTGACAATTCATGGGGAAGCCACTGGTCTTACATAGTTAGTAGAATAAGAAAATTGCAAAACTATTCCGACGATATTCCATCGACAGTCTATTGATACAATATTAAAACAGCAGAATTGAGGCCCTGTATCGTCACATTCGGCGTTGCATTCGTCATTATCATAGTTATATACACGCAATACAAATAAGATATATACAAGCGAGAGTAGCCGTGGGCAATAGCTAGTAATATATTGTATTTCTATTTGTAGCGCAGTAAAGTGAAGACTCTGAAACTGGCCAAGAATGCTTTAATCAAACGAATACCCTCCAAGGCTGAGCCAGAGCACAGTGACACGGACGATGAAACTGACGCGGTAAGAATATATAGTCATCATAGCGATTAAGGCTAAGGTACGAACTCTGCTCACATACAATGTAATTGGATCATGATTAGAATCACAATATTAATTATATTATGTATCATATGTATGTAGCCGTGGTAGAGCCATGTGGGTTACCTGATGGTGACTACCGCCACCCATGGATACCTGTACTTCAAGAGACACAAGTGGTTTGCTACCTTTTAATCGACCCCCCATCCCCAGAAGCGGAGAGGGGAAGTGTAGTCTCCGATTATCTCACTCTCTCGATAAAAAAGAAATTGCTTATTACCAATTCCCTGTGAGGCCGTGCTATCACTTTGGTCGAGCCGGCCCATGCGTGCCACCACGTAGATTACCACAGATCACACACTTTTTACAGTCTGCGTCCTTGTTTCATTTAACTGACTATAAAGTTGCTACGTACAATACAAGGCCTAATAAAAAACGCGGCGGTAGTCTTATTTTAGGACAAACAGATAAAGGGTTTACAAATTGTTCACAGATCAATAAATTATACAGGCCAGAGTCCTTTGAAGTATGTTGTACACAGGATATGACCACTGGGTTGTTTATTTGTTGTTGTTATCGTACGCCTAATGATAAAAATTTTGATACTTTTATACAAAACTTTGAAAAAATGTTGGAATATTTTTTCAACAGGAAGTGCTTAATTTGTGGTGATTTTAATATAAATTTCTTGTCCGATAGCAAAAGATACGTCGAATTTTCAAGTCTTCTACGGTGCTATAACTTTAGGACTCTCGTTAATAGTGTTACTTTCGCTCGCGGGAATTCAAGCTCGTGTATAGACAATTTCATTACAAATCTAGACCAGCAATGTATTAAGAAAGTAGACACAGATTTTAATGGGTTGGGTGACGGCCATGCGGGCTTGTTTTGTGAGTTAATTCTTAAAAATACTAGCTTCTTAAGAAAAACAAGTATTATAATAGAAAAGCGTTTTTTTTGTAAAAAAAAACCATGACAAATTTAAATATTTAATTTTGAATAATGAATGGACTAAAATGGGAATTAATACGTTCATAAATAAAATAAATAATGCGTTCCAGGTTACTTTTAGAAAGAGAAGACGTAATATAATGCTTAACAAAAATAACATGAACATAAACTGGACTACTAAAGGTATAAAAATTTCAAGTAAGATGAAAAGATTCTTGTGTGTAAATAGTGGTAATAATCTTGATAGTAGTTTAATTTCATATAAAAATAATTATGTGAAACTATTTAGGAAGGTCGTGAGAAATGCTAAGCGAAATGCGGTATCAAAACAAATAAATAACGCCAAAAATAACAGTAAACAAATATGGCAAGTTGTAAATCGACATAGAAATAAAAATAATAATAAAGTTATGAAAAAGCTAATTATAAAAACCAATGAGAAAATAGTTGACAATCCTAAAGAATTGGCAAACTTATTCGCCAGGCAATTTAATTATACACCCACGTTAGAAAATAGTAATCAAAATCAGGCAAGATTTTACCTTCAACAAGGCTCTGATAAGGTAACTAATGAGATGACGTTAACTGCTGTTACACCTGATGAAGTCATAAAGATTGTAAATGATATGCAGAATAAAAATTCTTGTGGCTTTGATGAATTGCCAATATCGGTAGTAAAGGAGCATATCGCGATCTTAGCTTTACCTCTGTCTCATTTTTATAATAAATGCTTTGAAAATAGCATCTTCCCAGAACAATGGAAAATAGCAAAGATTATACCATTGTACAAAAAGGGCTTACAAACCGACCCTAAAAATTACAGACCGATTTCTGTGTTACCTACACTCTCGAAAATATTTGAAAAGCTAATTAAAAGCCGTCTCACTAGCCATCTGAATAATAACATAGTTTTAAATCGGCGACAATTTGGATATCAAAAAAGTATCGGTACGACAGATGCTATCAATACCTTAATTAATGATGTCATAGAAAATATTAACAAAAAAGTCAAGGTGGCTGGGATCTTTCTGGATTTGAGTTCCGCTTTTGACACAGTGGATTATGAACTGCTTTTCATTAAAATGGAACATTATGGAATAAGGGGCAATGTTTTAAAGTTATTTAAATCATATTTAAAAAATAGAAAGTTTTATGTAGAAATTAAGGAGGTAGGAGAAAACAATTGTCAAGAAGTACACCGATCACAACTTTTAAATGTCAGGAAGGGCGTACCGCAAGGTTCCATATTAGGGCCTATTTTGTTTACACTTTTTACAAATGACTTACTATCCTATTTGAGCGTAAAAAAGCCAGATGTTAAACTCACGGTTTTTGCAGATGATACAAACGCTGTGATTAGTGCAAGTAACCTAAGTTCCTTAAATGTAAAAATAATTGGCGCACTAGAAACTTTTCAAGATTGGTTTGCAGTTAACAAGCTTACAGTTAACACAAAAAAGACAAACCTAATCTTATTTAAATCGACAGCTAGTAATAACGATAGATTAGACGTTATGATTAATGGAGAGAGATTAGAATTCGTGAATTCTGTTAAATTCTTGGGGGTTCATATTGATGCATTGCTCAATTGGAAAGAAGAGATAAAATCTATTGACACCTCAATCTCTTCAGCATGCTATGCAATTAGGAGCCTTCGAGAAGTAGTAGAAATAAATATCCTAAAATCCGTTTACCATGCGCTAATAGAGTCAAAGTTCAGATATAGTATACAACTGTGGGGAAATAGTTACGCTTATAATATAGAGAGGGCGTTCATTTTACAAAAAAGAGCTATAAGAACTATAGTCCGCATTCCCCAAATAGAATCATGTCGAGAACATTTTAAAAGTCTTGGACTATTGACGGTGCCTTGTTTGTATATATTGACAACATTGTGTTACTTATCCAAATATATGCACGAGGTTGAAACCCACGAAGAGAGGTTAGTTAGAGAGAGCACGCGGAGGAAACATATTCAACATACAATAAACCCTAGAATAAATATAGCTCGGCACTGTGTTCAGTATCAATCTATTAAACTTTTTAACTGTTTACCGGAAAGCATAAAAAGCGTAATTTATAGGACTTCTTTATTTAAACAAAAACTTGGAGCCTTCCTGTTGGAAAATAACTATTATTCCATCAATGAATTTATCAATCAAAATATATGCAATTAAATACTTAATAACTTATGTAATAATAATAAATATTGTGAATAATATTCTTGAATCATGAAATGACTTAATATAATTTATCGTTTTTTTTTTGTATTCTGCATGACATATTGTAAAATCTATCAAATTTATTTGTTTTTTGATTATTATGTTATTTATATTTTTGTTTTAATTTTTAAATATTTTTGTATTACGGCGAATTGTTATACATTCAAACACAATTATATTATTGTTTGTGAATAAATGAACTATGAACTATGAACTATAAGTCTTCACAGAGGTTTTGGCCTACTATACCACGCTGCCCAGACGGGTTGGTATAGGGTTTGCTTCAAGTTTTCCTTCTCTCTTCAGTGCTGTTGTCCTGCGTAGTTTGCTTCCTTATGGTATAAGTGTCCTTCCTCACTGACACTTATACCATAAATAAAACAATTTCTTTTTTTCGGCTTGCAGTCTTCAGATGGTGGTAACACTATGCAGAGAATGTTCGGTGTGAAGGGAGAGCTGAAGAAGACATCAAAGAAACCCAACGAACAGAGTAAGAGAGTAGTAAAACATGTTGCTCAAGTTAAAAACACACACAGTAAGATTTTTTATTTAATTTTCTTTTTATTTAAGTCAAATCTTACTCGAATAAACGATATATAATAATTATAATAAATAATTAGATTTATTATAATTATTATATCTATTATACTAGATTTATTATAATTATTATATAAATTAATAATAATTATTATAAATTATAAATAATAATTATTATTATTAAAATAAGAGATTTTTGTACACAAAAATGGCGATGTCAATCTTATATTACCTTGTTCTAAGTTAACTATTACATTAAGTATTTACAAACTATTATCTCTAATTAAAATTAAATAAGAAAACATTTTAGCTGCCACCGAATTTGATTAGTTAAAATCAAAAACATTTTCTTAATAATTTCACACATCTCACACACGGCTGTCTGATGAACCTGTACTATGGTAACCAGACTACTGATAAACATCCATACCGCGGTCAGAATCTAGTTATTATTTATTTCTAACTAACATATAAATATCTAGATAAACTAACTTTTGCTTTAACGGTGAAAAGTAGCCTATGTTACTTTCTGATTATGAGGTTTTCCATTGGTGAAAGAACTTTTAAATCGTTTTAGCGGTTTGGGGGTACTCATTTTTAAGTTTATAATATAAGTGTGGATTACACCCACACAATGAAAAACCCACGACCTCTCGCTTAGCAGTGAGGGTTATTAACCCATACACCTAGACACCTCATCATCATCATCATCATCAACAGCCTTTAGCCTCTCTTTAGAAAGGAGGTTTTGGCTTACTATACACTTACAGTGACAATTTTTTTCTTTTATAACACACATGTGTGGGTAGGTGGGTGTATGTGTGTGTTCGCGTGTGTGGGTAAATCGAGATTCGTGGGACCTATATTAGGTATGTAAGAAGTCATGAAATATGAATGTTTTGTTTTTGCAGATAAACCAAAACCACAGCACAAAAGTATATTAAAACAGACACCAAATAAACCTAAGATTGAAAACAAATCTGTAAAGATGACAGATGTCAAAACACCGACGCTATTTAAATCGATGGGCAAAGATGTCAGCAAGACGCAGAAAACGGTCAAGATAGACCCAAAGGCTACAGACAATAAAAATGGACATAAGAAACATTTCGACGAAGATAAAATGGAAGAACAGGATGAAATAATTGATGGCGAGGAGTTTTTAGAAGATGACAACTTTGAATTAGATGAAGAGGTTAATGTGAAGTTTTTGTCTAAACAGACCACAAATAATAAAATAGCAGTACAAATAATCTGTTACAGATGATATTAAGCCTATGATGATAATTAAAATAGCGACATTCTCGTATAACAAAAACATAATTCAGTGCCATCTAATGCAGACTAACTGAACTAGTAGTAGAAACAGTGGCTACTTTCCCTGCATCGCGCTATTGAAGTTTTTGCGTCCTTAACTCAATCGAGGGATTATCCCTTTCTGTTCTAGAGATATAACCACTGTTTCTTTAAATATATTACTAGCTGCGTCTTTCAAAATAAATAAGTTTACCCCGTTTTTGCAAACATTTTCCATTGATGCGCGGTTCCTATTAGTCGTAGCGTGATCTTATATGGCGTAAAGACTTCCGCGATAAATGAGCTACCTCGATAAATGAGTTATCTAAAACGAAAATAATTTTTCAAATCGAACCAGTACCCCCTGACATTAGCGCGTTCAACCAAACAAACACTCTAAAGATTTATAATATTAGAATAGGTATTACGCTACTACAGTAATTAAAAAGTAAAGTTAACGTTTTGTCTAAACAGATATTCTCGTATAACAAAAACATACTACAGCGCCATCTAACATACACTAGCTAAACTATAAATAAGCTACTGATCCTGCAACGCGCAATAAACATTTTCACGCTTATTAGCAGTTCCAGAATCACCTAGCCTAGACGACAACGCACTAACAAACACATTCCTTTCTTTCGAAGGGGAATATCCAGTAGGCAATCCCCTTTGATCAGTATTATTGAAGTTAAGAAAAGGGATACATGTATTGATTTATTTTAGGAATTCGCTGAAGAATCAGAGACGGAGATCTCGATGAAACAGTGCATCATGAAGCCGGAAATGATGGATGAGGAGGTGCCAAGTGACGATGAGAGCCGCTCTGAAGATGGCAGCTTATACGACGTAATTGCAAATTTATTCCTAGATTTTGACCGCTGTATGTGGACCAGACTCGATCAAAATGATATCACGGCGTCCCAGTGTTAAGCAGTTCATTGCTGTCCATGGAGTAAATGAGGTAACCGGTACCCGAACGAAGGTGGTTTGGGTTCCGATTACCATTGTGTCTCTAGAGTTGTATGTGTCCATGGGCGGCGGTAGTCCGCTACGATTGTGACTCCTGAGTTGCAGTCGTTCATGAGGCGCCTATAGTCACTTATCATCAGGTCCTCAATTCTGCTGTTTTAATATTATATCAATAGACTGTCGATGAAATGTTGTCGGAATGCACAGATGGCGTAGTGGTGTAAGCGGTCGCCATACCGCTTTCTACTATGTTGAGTGTTGTGGGTTCGACCCTCATATGAGACGACACTTTGTGTCATCCACAAATTGTTGTTCTGAGTCTGGGTGTTCTTTGTGTCCGTTTATGTATGTTCGTAAAGTCCTCCGCGATACAGGATATACTTCTAATGCGGGAGTTGTCTTTTTAAAGAAGAACAGTTTTGCACTTTTCGTATTCTACTAACTATGTAAGACCAATGGCCTCCTCTTGTCCCTTATACAAATGTCGTCGATGTCGTTGTAACAGTTTGGTAAACGGTACATTTTAAATTTGTGAGGAAATGATATATTTAATTTTCATGATATAGCAATGTTGTTGATATCACCATTGATGACCGATATTACTCTATCGGCAGTCTATTGACACTGTGAATTTATGTTAGTAGAATATCGATAATTTGACCGATATCAGTGGCATCTCAATGACATCTCAAGGCCTCTCAAGCCAAGTCACTGTCATTCCATTGACACGCTATGTCAATGGAATGACAGTGACTTGGCCTTAACATAAAATAGCAGAATTGAGGCCCAGGTGACCTCTCTGTTCGTTTTCCCCCTATAAAAAAAAATCATTTAACTTAATGTTTTTTTGTCTTTATTATGACAATATTTCTTTTAGATGTTATCTGCACCGTATCCCTACACGTACGTACAAGGGAAATAATTTTTTTTGTGAACACCGATTAAGTAGTCGCGGTGTCAAATTATAAGAAATAAACAAAACGAACTGACGCAATCGAGCAGAGCAACTCAAGGTACGCAGACCCCTCAGAAATAAGGGAGACAGGAGATTAGGCCTCAGTCATGGCTCTCCCACGCTATTGTTACTCTTTTAACTTAACATTTATTTTTTATTTCAGGAGTTACCGTCTTCAGATTCAGAGGACTTCGACGACTGGTTCACGCTGGACATCAGATCAGAACGGGCGTCCGACTACCTGCCTTTACTTGGTAAGTTCTAACAACACTAGCAGTTAGCACTGTATACCGATTTTCCTCCACAGTCACAACACTAGGTGACTGTCAAGGAACATTAATATCTGTCTATAAAATGTCAAAACCGTTGAAGCGGTACATTTTGTATGAAATACTAAGTTGTGACGTCATACCTAGGTACGGTGTTAAGCATGGGTGTCCATTTAATTTCACGCTAGCAAGTTAGTACCTGCAATGGAAACAATAAAAGTAGATCAATAATACGGATATAGAGTGGTTTAAAAGATAGTTAATAAGAAGGCGGAGGAATTTGTAAAATTTTCGATTGTGTAAAATGATGTATTTAAGGAAGGTCTCCGCTAGGTGTGACGACGATGACCTAAGCGAGGAGTGTTGGGTTAGGTTAGACCTGCGACCGGTCCGGATGACTTAATAACAGCAGTTCCCGGATCCCGTCTATAACAGGCGCAGAGTGGCACACCGTGTGGTTTTAGTCGGTCCGAGTCCGACACACCACCCCGCCGCAAACCCGGGTCGGGTGACGGCCCGAGGGAGTTTCCATATTTCTTAAATAATACTTAAATCTAGTAGACGACGAGTGAAGAATCCTTTGTAATTTACCAACATTCGGATTCCTCTATCTCTGTAATTATGGATCTGAGAAAAAAAATATGTGCAAATGTTCTTTTGATAGAAATAAACTGTTTACAATCTCTAAATTACAGCTTACAAAAATATTATAAAGAGTGATTATTATGAACACAAAAATTGGGTAATAAAGCAAAAAATAGGAACAAGATTATTTTTTCTCTGTTTGGGATAATGACATTTTCAAAACGAGACATAATATATAACATTTGATGGCCATTTACAAGTGTAGCAATAAATTGGCAGTCTGTAAACAAAAAAGATCACACAAGTTAGCCAATACAGACCCGTTAAGCAGGTCACCGAGTGAGGTAACCAGAGTGACTCAAAGGGCAACGTACTTATGAGCGAAGGTAATATGTATGAAGTGTGGGGGGTGCAGGCGCGGGCGCGGGCGCGCTGCTGGGGGCGGAGCGGCGCCGCGCGGAGGGGCGCGTGGCGACGCTGCGCGAGTCGCTGTCGGCGCTCACCGACGCGGCGCGGCGCCAGGCCGACGCGCTGCGCAGCGCCGCCATGGCGCTCGCCGAGATCGACGACACGCTGCGCGCCGCCTGACTCCCGCCTCACTCCCGCCTCTCCCGCCTCACACCCACCCGTCCGGACGATTGACCCTTTCCGTACTCACTTCGCGTTGACAAAACAGTCACGTACGATCGAGCCTTTGCCCGATCAGATTCCATGCTTTCGAACGAAACGATAATAGATTGGATTTGATCGGTCAAAGAGCGCAACTCTATCGATGCGTCACTATTTTCTTAGCGTGAACGAACTGTAGTTTCCTAATTTTGTGAAGTAATGTTTCTTTATATTCGGTTAGATAGCTATAGATTCGAAGGCTACTCTGAGCGCCCTCCGGGGCACGACGGGTTTGTAAAATACTGTCTCATTAAAATTTAAATAAATCGCTAGATAGACACTCTCTTCATTAAAATTTAAATAAATCGCTAGATAGACAGAAATCTCTTAGTAAAGCAAAAATACGAGCTTCCGAGTCTCGTTTACATGACGTGTATTAACGTGATTTAACGCTAGTCGAGGAAACCGACGCGTACTTCACGAATGTCCGCTGAACATAGTTATAAATGAATCGTGATGTACCACAATAACATTCTTAAAAAACACCGTAGTTATTGGATTTTGAATCTTAATTTGATAATTTTAGCGCTTAAATTTTAAAATAAGCCTTGATCACATTTTAAGACACCGGGATAGTTTTGAACACTACCTGGCTAGTACTAAGCCTCATAACTCTCATGAATGTATTTTTAATAAGCTGCGAGATCCTTTAGCATGCTGCAGGATCTTTTGGCTGGCCACGGAATCGTTCAGCTCGCCGTGAGACCCTACAGTATGCCATGGGATCCTTCTGCTTGCCGCGGATTTTTTGCCATGCTAACAAGCACGTCAGGATACTGCAGGATCTTACAACATACCTGGGGACCCTTCGAGTCCCACAGACCCCTTAAGGATGCCTCCAGCTTCTACAGCATACTGCGGGCACTTTCAGAATACCTTTATTATAGTATGCAATATGTGTTTTTCTAATAAGCAAAATGTATTTTTAAATATAAAATAGCAATAAGCTTCTGTAAATATCGTATGAATTAAATACTTAAATGGATTCTTTGGTTTAATTTATGAGAGAGAATTGATTTAGTTTAGATGTACTACTCGACCAAGCGTTTTAGACCAACGCGTGGAATGCGGCCTCCCCGGCCCGCACCTCGCCTCAGGTACCGCGATCGTCTTAGTACCATCGGCAAGGTTGCTACCGCTCCCACGTGTTTGATTTTGTTCTGTTATTTTCCATTCGTTTGTTAAGTTTATTATAATTCGTTAAATTGTTGTTAAATAAACATACTTATATACTTCTGATTTGTAAATATATACTTATACTAGCTGACCCGGCAAACGTTGCTTTTCCTAAAAAAAAAATTTAGGGATGGGTCACCCTTACCATTTAGGGGTATGAAAAATAGATGTTGGCCGATTCTCAGACCTACCCGATGTGCACACAAAATTTCATGGGAATCGGTCAAGCCGTTTCGGAGGAGTACGGGAACGAACATTGTGACACGAGAATTTTATATATAAGATTATAATACATGGAAGCACACAGAACCGGCATAATAAAATATCTGTAGATAACATAAATAATTAATCAAATTAAATAAAAATTAAGTTAATCAAATAAAAAAAACACCGATCGATCACTTGGATTCTTCTGCTATCCGTACCCGAAGTCAATGAGGTCACGTTTTACAGTCGTCTAGTTCGCTTGGTCGAGTAGTATAATACTTAGATTTTTCATCTGTTAAATAGTTGTACTAATATACCTGAAATACGTAGATGTACTGTATTATCAAGGTCGTAAAATACTGATTGGTGAACCTCCCAAAAATTAAGAGGGATATAAAAGCAGTTGTTTTAAAAATAATAAACGATTCCCACATGCGGGAATGCTTCAAGTCTGTTTATTGGAGAAGAACACTTAAGAAGATGCTTCTAAACTATACGATTGAATAATTTCGGTGTGGTGACGGATTCAGAATACTGAGTGTCACCACCCCTATTCATCCCGTGGGTGTCATGGAGCAAACTAATCAGGACAACAACGCTGCAAAGAGAAGGTAAACTTGACATAAACCCTAAACCAACTCGTCTGGCCAGCGTGGTGTAGTAGGCCAAAGCCTCCTTTCAAAGGGGAGGCCTATGTCCAGCAGGGGACCATTAAAGGCTGTTGATGTGTGATGTAATTGAATACATTTTCATCCCCACTACTTGGATAATTGGCGCTCCACCACTGTGCGCTTTTCAAGACACTGCCTCGCACTACCAACCTGTGGAACAAGTTATCGGCTGCGAACGATCTTCAAACCTTAGAGGAAAGAGTGTACTCCTTCCTCAAAGGCTGGCAACGCGCTTGTGACTCCTGAATTGCAGGCGTTCACGGGCGGCGGTAGTCGCTTTCCACAGGTAATTCGTCTGCTCGTTTGCCCCCTATTCCATAAAAAAAAAGTTTGTGCACACGATAATTTGAAGAAATATGTTTAATGTTGTTTGGGTTATATTATAACTTGGGATCTTGGACCTAATCTAATGATGAACTCAGGAGATGGATAATAGAATTTCAGTGCATACTAGTAAAGCCAGTAAGCTCATATATCTCATCAAAATGAGTACATGACTTGATAACAATGGCCTGATGTTGAAATTGGCTGTTTTTATAATTTAGCATTTCGCCATTAGAATGTATTTGTATCTGACTGCAGGAGAAGGGAGGTTGTTTTTCTAGTGCATGTTTGTATTTTTGGCACACTGTAGCCTAAACGGGTAATGGATTTTGTCATAGTACCATATATCATGCATAACAGCTTAATCTTATATGTAATAAATACACAAAGCATTCACAACTGCTCTAAATTAGAAAAGTTTCATCTAATATTGTATAAATGCATGGCCGAACACTGTCTTTTAAGATACAGGTGTCACCTAGTTTAAAAGGCAGGGTTTTTCACTGATTGAACATGGATATTTCGATATTACCGACGACTAAAATTGACCTATAACTAACATGTACTGTAAATTTCTATGTATAATTGTTTTGGAAATAAATTTATTATTATTATTATTTTGACATTTGCGGTGTCGTTAGATTCCACTTAATAGGCTAGTTGACTCACTTTGAAATCTTGGTTAATTATATAATTTAATATCTTTTTTATCCCACTATATTTCAAAGAAAAAGCAATGTTTACATTAAGTATTTTGTATTAAAAAAACGATTTAAATTTCCTTCGAAAACGCTGAATAGTGTCATGGCGTCTTGAATGACGTCACAGTATGCGAAATAAAACTGTTTACATCTGTGTCCAGTGTCCACTGTTTTCACAAAATGAATAAGGAATAAGGAGTAACCTGCTCTGTTGTATGAGAACGTCAACAACAACAATGATGTTTTGCGTGGCGTGACGTAACACTTTCTGATTGGTGTTCGCTGTCACGTGACTTAACGCCTATTTTGTACGTTTTTTTTTAATATTTTAACTTTTATGAGAAATAGACTGATTTTTCTTATCTATGTCTCTTGATTTGTAAATTGAAACTATAAACCAAGCAATTTGTTATTAGTGGACACAAGCCTATTGTGAGATTGAGATTGAGACACTGAGTATATGAATATCAAAAAAATTAAAACCACCGTTTTGTAAAAAAAAAACACAAAGTCAAGTATTTGTTTTTTCTGCAATAATTAGCTTGCTTAGTTTCACTTCAACTTTAATAAATTAGTATTGAAATTATGATTTATTCAAATTGGAATAATTACAATGTCTAAAACCTTAATAGTACCTAAAATGAAAGAAATGTAATCAATAACTTATTCTTTATTAAATAAAAAAAACATTAAATTATGTTTATGCTAAAATTTTGCTCTTGTTGCGGAGAGCTGTGTAGGCGACAAGGATGGAGATTGCGGTCGCGAGGACTTCGGAGTTCACCCAAGGTCCAGAGTAACCTGCAAGAAAAACAATCAAGAATTTAATGAGAGTTCAATAGACCGTGAATGTCGTGTCGACACAAAATGGCAGCGACCAGAGTTTTGGGCAAAAACATTGCAGACCTATTATCTTATAACTAGCTGACCCGCGCAACTTCGTCTGCGTCTCTCAATAGTAATAATTTTTCTCCGTTTTTGAAACATTCTTCATTGGTGCTCCGCTCCTATTGGTCTTAGCGTGATGATATATAGCCTATAGCCTTCCTCGATAAATGGGCTATCTAACACTGAAAGAATTTTACAAATCGGACCAGTGGTTCCTGAGATTAGCGCGTTCAAACAAACAAACAAACTCTTCAGCTTTATAATATTAGTATAGATAATAACCTCATACATCTCACACACGGCTGTCTGATCCCAAACTGAACAGAGCGTGCATTACGATAACCAGACTGCTGATAAAAATATGTATATATTTCTAAAAACACATATTATAGGTAAATTACACACAGACACAGAACAAACGATCGTGCTCATCACACAAATATTTGTATAACCTCATGTAACATTGCAGAATCTCATTTTTACACGCTTTATATTAGCTTTATGTTTATTTGTAACCGACTCCTTTGGGCGTGATTTTGACTGACTTTAAATGGTCAGAAGTCGTTCAAACTTTGTAGATATATCGAGGACCGATGACAATACACTAATTTAAAAAAAAAATAGTTTAAAAAAACTAAAAAAAACACGCTTTTTATAGAAAACTAAACTAAAAATATAAAATAAATTTTAATAAATTTGAAAAAAAGCGTTGGGTGCCTGTTGTCAATAGTAAAAAGCACCCCACGCTTTTTTATTATAACACGAATGGCGTAGTGGTAACCTCGCCGCTCCCTAGTGCGCTTAACGTTGTGGGTTCAATCCCCACATGGGACAACACTTCGTGTGATCTACAAATTATTGTTCTGAGTCTGGGTGTTCTTTGTGTCCATGTCATGAATGTTTGTAAAGTCCCCTAGAGATAGAATGTGGTGACCGCTTAAATCACTACGCCATCCGTGCAGCTATGGAGGTAGCTGACTCCCTGGATTAACACAGACTACTTTTTATCCCGAATAAATGTAGTATTCCCGTGGGATGAACAAGGTACAACAACCGCACGTAATACCGCGAGACACAGATAGTCCTTTATAAACATATCTTTATATCCATCATACGACAGATGACGATTCCAAACTACATACAAAATTTTCAGTTATTATTATTATTTATCTATCCCTTTATTGTACACCATTGAAGTATTATATATACAGATATTAAATACATTTCGGTATAACAAAAGGCGGTCTTATCGCTCTCGGCGATCTCTTACAGACAAACTTTAAACGGATATTGTCAAAAAAATGAGGGTAGCCTGGGATGTACTATTACAACATATTGAAAAAAATAAATAAAAAATACTAATAATAAACATAAGGTTACTAATATATACGTTTACAGTATATTATACATACAACATATATAAATACATACAGTACATAAATACACAAATTCCTCTATGATGCCAAACAATGATTTTTTATTGGCTTTTTAAATGTTTGCAGTGATTTGGCTTGCCTAATTTCTTCCGGTAAATTATTCCACAGTCGTTATATATAAGCAAACCCAAAAAGGGTATGATGTACTTACTGCCTGGGTGATGAAGCTGGATAGCTATAAGGGGAGCGACGGTAGCCTTAGGATCGGCGCGGCGAGCACGACGCAGTGAGGCCCAACCTTCCTCGTCTAAGATGTGAACTTCATGGACGCCTGACCTGGCCTTAGCTGGCTCTTCAGTCCAGGATACCTGCAGATAAGACACGACAAACATATGAAAACAAAAATTATATACTAGAAGATTACTAGAAATCAATTCTCGTAATAAAAATTCCGGTCCAGTAGTCCGTGTGTTGACGCATTAAAAATATGGAATGTCACCACCCCTATTAATCCTGTGGGTGTCGTAAGAGCCGACTAAGGGAGCAAATTACTCAGGACAACAGCACTGCAAAGAGAAGAAACTTGAAACAAACCCTTTTTTTTTTTTTTTTTTTTTTTTTTTTTTTTTACGTGTGGAAATCCCCTCGGACCGTCACCCCGCCGGGGCTCTCGTTCGGCGGGGCGGTGTGTCGGACTCGAACGGTGTGCCCTCTTTGCGCTTCCAGTTTAGGAGGGGTCCAGGTAGCTATCTCCTTCTGGACCCCTCCCAGCGCCGGCCCGCTCCTGGTGCGGGCTCCGTCTCTGATCTTTCCTCTCTTTAGGCGACGTCCGGCACACGCGGACGCCGCCCCCTCGCGGCTGGCCAACTAATGCGGGTGGAGGGGAGAACCCATCCCGTCCACCCGCGGCCACACTCAGGGCGGCATGAGGCGCAGGTAAGCGCGCCTCCGCCGCCCGGTTCGCCGGCGGCGGATCAGGTCCGAGTGGAGGTCGTCCTCCCGGGCCTTCTCCGCCGCCTCCTTCTGCGAGATTACCTCCTCGCAGAAGGTTGCGACCGCGGTAAAACAACTGTCGCTACCGGCCATGGAGCGAATTACGGCCGGTAGCGAGAGATCTGCTCCGATGACTGCAGTGAGGGCCCGGCGCTGCGTCGCCCATGCGGGGCAAACCGCCAGCGTGTGCTGGGCCGAATCCTCACTGCAGTCGCAGTGGTGGCAGGCGGGACTCGATTCCCTCCTAGCGACCGAGTACAGGTACTTTCCGAAGCAACCGTGCCCGGAAAGCACCTGCGTCAGCCGGAAGGAAAGGGTCCCGTGCTGCCGCCCTGCCCACTCGGCGATGACCGGCTGGAGAGCCTCCACGGCGGCGAAGCCAGCGCGTGGAGTCTCCAGCCGAAACGACCATCTCACCATGGTGGCTCGGCGAGCGGCTTCGCGCCACTCGCGCACGTCTTCAGGCGGAGGGCGAAATCCGCTCTCCGCCCGGAAGTCAGCCACTCGCCGATAAACTTCGGCGAGCACTTCCGCCTCCAAATCCCACGGGGGTGTTCCGGCCAAGGCACAGGCCGCCTCGGTGGACACCGTGCGGTATCCGCGTATGGCTCTGACCGCCAATATCCTCTGGGGGCGCCAGAGGCGCGCCCTATTCGGGGCGGTCAGAGCCGCCACCCACACCGGTGCACCATACAGCGCCATGGACCGGACAACCCCTGCGTACAGCCGCCTCGTGGGAACACTGGCCCCGCCCAAATTGGGCAAAAGTCGCCCTAGGGCGGAGGCAGTGTCCACCAGCTTCGGACCAGGCTGTCGGAAGTGCTCGTCGAAGAGCCACCTACCGTCTAGGACCAGACCCAGGTACCTCATCTGGGCCCGGACCGGTACGAGGACCGAGCCGACCTCGATTGAGGCGCCGGCGGGCGGACCACGACGGGGCCCATGAAATAATAGGGCCTCCGTCTTATCCAGGGCCACCCGCAAACCCAACGCCTCAATGCGCCCGACCACCAGGGAGACTCCCGTGGCGGCCAGGCGCGCCGCCTCCTGGAAGTTAGCCCCCCGGGCCGTGAGCAAGGTGTCATCCGCGTAGCAGATTACACCCAGCCCGGGGGGGAGACGCCCTCGTAGGGCCCAGTCGTACCCGATGTTCCACAGGAGAGGTCCTAGGACAGACCCCTGCGGAACACCGCACGACATGGCCCTGCGTCTCAAGACGCCATCTCGGTCCTCGTACATGACGGTTCGCTCCTCAAGATAGTCTGCCACCAGCCGCCTCAGGTACTCCGGCACTCCGTGGTAGCGGAGCGCTTCCCTGATGCAGCTGAATGGCAGACTATTGAAGGCGTTGGCGATGTCCAAGGACACCGCCAACACCACTCCGCCGCAGCTCACGGCCTCCCCGGTCACGGCCCTAAGGCGCATCACGGCATCGATCGTCGAACGCCCCTCTCGGAAACCGAATTGGGCGTCCGACAGATCGGGGCCAACCTCGCAGAGGTGCCGGACGATGCGGGCAGAGAGCACCCTCTCAAAAAGTTTACCCGCCTCGTCCAGCAACACGATAGGCCTATAGGCCGCGACCGAATCGGTAGGCCGTCCCGGCTTCCTCAGCAGGACCAGCTTCCCGCACTTCCAGCGCTCAGGGAAGCGTCCGGACGCCAGGCTAGCGTCCAACACTTCCCTGAGGTGGTCCGACATGTAGTCGAGGGCTCGGGCCATCACTCGGGCTGGAACCCCGTCCGGCCCGGGAACTTGAAACAAACCCTATACCAACCCGTCTGGCCAGAGTGGTATAGTAAGCCAAAACCTCCTTTCTAAGGAGAGGCCTATGTCCAGCAGTGGACTGTTATAGGCTGTTGATGTGATGTGTTGATGAATAAAAATTCGTTCATAATTCAATCCCCATCTCTCTATTTCACAAATGTCAAAAAAGTATTCTCATAGTTAAGTATTAGTTTGAATAGCACTACTGTTTCAATTTTCGGTCACAATATGATACGATCACATTACTTGTGTAGTGGCGTCCGAATGGCATAGTGGTTTGTGTAACGAACTGCTATTCCAAAGGCCGCGGGTTCGATTCCCCTTCAAGTCAAACATGTGTGCATGAACTTTTAATGTTTGATTTGGACGGGGCGTTTCTATGTATATGTATGTATTTACAAAAAAAAAGTATACATGTATTTATATCAGTCCCATGGGTGTCATAAGAGCCAACTGAGGGAGCAAACTATGTAGGACAACAGCACTGCAAAGAGAAGGAAAACTTGACACAGACCCTATAGCAACCCGTCTGGCGAGTATAGTGGTCCTAAGGAGAGGCCATTAAGGGCTGTTGATGATGATAATGATTAAAACAGTAATTCTTTTTAACGGACTTTATAACAAGAAGTTTTTTTTTTGTTTACTTGGTTCCTGAACAATTATTTACATTCATTAATGCAACATGACCAAACTAGAAGACAACAGCACTGCAAAGAGAAGGAAAACTTAAAACAAACCCTATACCAACAACCAACGTCTGGCCAGCGTGGTATAGTAGGCCAAAACCTCCTTTCTAAGGAGAGGCCTATGTCCAGCAGTGCTATTATAGCCTGTTGATTGATTGAACATAAGTTGTAAAAAGAGAATATCCGACAATGTAATAACTATTTAAAACTAAAAATCACATGCCATTATCCTAGAATTATAACTATTAGTTTTCTAAATTTGAAACTTGTTATTTGAGCTGTTCAATTTGGCTGCTTTTTTTTTAATGTTAAAAAATCATTCAATATGGAAAACTTAAATTTTATTTAAAATATGTACCTAAGTACTTCCTGTTAGGTCCTAATTAAATTAGAAGATATTTTTTTCTTTACACCCCTAATGGTGAAAATTAAGGTATCAAGAAAAGAGATTATTACAAATTACAAGGATGTAGGCGAGTTAGAGATACTTTTTAAATAGTTCTATGAATACAACCGTTTAAAAAGTATATCAGCATAGAAACATTTTTATTAATGTAGGTATGTGTTGAAAATCTGTATCGCCTCCACATTATGGCTGCGTAGATATCTCCAAGTTAACCTACAGCCAAAACTAATTATCAGTCTTGTGCTTAGCACACAAGTAAGAACCAATGACCCATATAATTAATTGTAAAATTATATAACCTACTGACATATAGGTTTTGTATTGTCTATCCAACAAATTCATTATACTCAGAACTCTAGTTTCACATAACTAATTTGTGTGGTTCAAAGTTATTTTAGAAGCAAAGGTTAACATACCTGATATTTATTTTCTGCAATGCGGGCAGCCGATAACGGCTTTCCGTCAACTTCGGCGTACAACGCGTAGTTTTCAGGCAATGGATTGTCACATTTTAGTGTAAATTCAGTAATGTAAGCTATTTGTGTGACTACTGTAGCATCTAAACTTGTAAAGGATGAAGCCTCAACTTGTGGATTTGTGCAGCTCTGTGCAAACGCTGCAGATGCAAGTGCCAACAGACAGATTGTGTATTTTGTGACCATTTTGCAGCTCTGACTATAAATTGTGACTAAATGGTTTTAATTCAACAATATTCTATTTTCCACTGGCACTTTCTTTCAGTGTTTCTCCACGTATGACTGAACACGTTCAGAAGATCGTTGTTAATATTTTTTGTTTTATCTTTATCAAATACGACTCGACTCGTTACTTAAAAACTTTTATCAAAAAATGTGTTCAATGTTATAATTATCTTCAGCTACGCGTTATGACTGCTTAATAATAATCATAATGTTAAAACGTTTCAAAGAAAAACTGATTAGGAAAAATAAAATACAGAATAATATTTCCCATCAATAGGTTTCGAACATACCTTCTAAACGTCACCGATGACGTGTGGTTATAATGCCAAATCGTTTTATTTCTGGCCTTCACCTGCGTTCATAATTTTATTGTTAACAAAACTCTCAATTTAATAGAATATGTATAGAGCTGCCTCGTACCTTCTTTAATAGCTCTGTATGATACAATAAAATGACAGAATTTCTAAAATATTCAAAAACTTATTTATAATGTCATTACATGCACATACAATAATCATTTCTAGTTATTTTCCACTTCTTTTTTTTTAAAGCGAGGAATTTAGGTATGTTCGCTTCCCACAGTACCTTGGATTCTACTAGTACTACAAACTTAATTCACTTTGCATAGAAAAATATGTACGTGTATAAAAAATATGTATGTAGGGGTGTATGTAGGGGCGCACGATCTCCTTTGAAGTGGCGTGTCTCCTAGCCGGAACTTTACCATGGGACCTGGTGACGAGAATCCTTGCGGCTCTGTATCAGTGGCGTAAGGAGGCGCGGGATTTGGGTCGGCATCCTGAGAATCGAGAAATCAAAGATCAGAATAGGATTTCTGATCCGCCTCGATAAATTTGTAATAAATAAAAATAAAGGAAATTATTATGAGCATGGTTCATAATCACGGTTGTTTTAAAAATTAAACATTAAAAGGATAAGTTCATCTATATCTATGCTAAAATTTTTTTACAAGTAGCAACACTGTTTTGCGTGCCATGCCATGACATCACTATCACTCTATATGATTTAAAAAAATATTTTCTTTCTCGAATTCGATCGACTGTGACTTTTACTACTTTTGCTTGCACATCGTACTCATCTACTAAAATATACATCTCTATTTATAAAAATAAATAAATGGCGCGCTCTCCGATCACAGAATTCACAGATCAAATTCTGAGGGCACAGTTTTCTGGACATTGTCAAATACTTCTAGAGCGGTTTAAAGTAAAGGATAATTTATGATTGTAAGTTTTTTGTTTTTTATTATTCGACAGTCATTCTCATTTTATTGAAACTGCTAAAAGTGAAATTTAACCAACTGCCAGGTCAAAATTTGCAGTCTGGCGGAAATAAGAATTTAGTTACGATTCTTATTTCAGATAACAATATTGTATTAGGTGTCGTCCCCAGTTGCGTATATTTGTAAATCAAATTGTGATTTCTTTTTTTACAATGGGTTCTATTTGGTATATCGAAGGTTTTTTCTGGGACCTCTTACAATTTAGACTCAGATATACATGTATTGGCACGGTACGGAATAAAGGGCGAAATGAGGATTATTTAATAGTTTAATGTAAATTTTGCTTCAATAATTAATAAATATTACTTTGAAGTGCATCAATTAATAATAACGATAATTTTTGTAATAATAATGGTGTTTATTTATTTTCTTATAACTAATTTGTATGCATGAACATGAATTAATTTAACTTATAGAAGCAATACTGTCGTGAGAGACTGGTGCCAGAAATATGTTAGAAATACCTGTGTTACGGGTACCCTCCAATAAAAACAGTAAAAGCCTGTTATTCCTAAACATAGGGTTACAAGAGGTCCCTAAAATCGATGTGCCTTTTGGCATAGGCCTCCTCCAATTCTTTCCAATGGGTCCTGTCCCTTGCTACTCTCAACCAGAGTGGTCCCACTATCTGTTTCAAGTCATCTTCCCATGTCCTGACTTGACGACCCACCCTCTTTTGCCGTCTCTTGGTTGCCAGAGGGTGACTTGCTTGCTCCATTGGTTGATGGGGTGGCCTAGCATATGTCCAGCCCATCTCCATTTTTGGACATCTATCCGGGTAAGAATGTCTGTGAGTTTAGTTCTTGTTCTTATGTCTTCGTTCCTAACTCTGTCTTTGATTTTTAACGCTAGCACTTTGACTTTTTCCTGTGGTAAAGTGTTATTGACCAAGTTTCACAGCCATAAGTAAGAACTGGTAGAATACAGGCCTCCAATACTAAGAGTTTAAATAAAATGAAGAAATAAATGATAATAAAATATAAATACAAGAATATAGGATATATGCATTTGTAAATGAGAGTTTGTGTAAGGCCAATTGTTTAAGCCCATGAAAGTTATGTGATTACATATTTGAGTGACCTGAATCAGCTATTGGCATCAGTAAGCTCTGTATTGTTAACACGTTCTCTGCCAATTGCAAAACATGTCTTTTTCATTCAGGCCGTGGCGGTCACTGTTGGGCGACAACAATCATTTCTGTTCGAGCCGCGTCGCCCAATGGTGACCGCGTGTCAGACGTGTTTTTAAACTGCGACTGTAGGCCAACGGACAGAAAAGTCTTTCAATTTTGTATGACAGGGGACCCGCTCAGCTCTTCTTTGGCTTGGTTTTTGCAAACAAGTCTAAAATTAAATTTCGTTTTTTACTTCAGAGCTCTAATTTTCACTGTAATGGACTTATATCGAATACCAAAGACCAATCTTTCCTCTTTATAATGTAGGTATAGATTGCAAATAAAACAATTTTGATGCGCATAGAAAGTTTATTGAAAAAATAGGATACAGAAAAAAAAATGACATTAAAATTTAATGAATTTTAATAAAACATTCGGGACATAAAAAAGGTTCATTAGGACAGGGTTTTATTCTGTAATATTAAAAAATTAAAAAAAAAAAATTTTTGTGGTAATTGTGTAAAGTTAATGTTAATGTTATCTGTGTTCAAACAAACAAACAAACAAACTAACTGGGGGCACCACAAATACTAACAAACAATTAAACTCGGGCGCCAGGTGCTCCACCTTAAATGAACACAGACAACCAACAACAAATACAATAAATCCCTCGGACAACTCGGTCAGCGCTAGACTTTTAATCTAGGATGGGGGGCAGCTATTAAATACAAAGATGTTAAGTTCAAGTGGCAGTTTATTATCCCGTAGTGTCTGTAAAGTACATGGTATCTTAAGGCTCTAATTACAATAGGTAATTCTTATACTCCAATTAGTACTGTCGTCAATGCAATCTGTTTCAAATAAACGAATAAAACAAACTAAAATTAAATATGTTTTAAAGAGTCACATAAAGACTTAATGGAAATGAATCTAAGGGTAGTTGCAGCATCGACCTACTCCCTTAATAAAAATAACACCCCTTAGGGACCTGCAGTATCCGATGCCACGACGCCAACCAAATTAATAAAAAAAACATACCATTGACTTTGGCTCAGTCCGAATGAAATGAAGGCAAATTAAGGCTAATAAATCTCACTCCTGTCCCACGTGGTGGAAGAGGCGGGGTAGTATTCCAAGGTTCCTGATAATGGACTGCAGCTAAACAGCTTTTTCTACCATTATAGGTGCTCCGCAGCAAACTAAATCCTTGGGTCAGGCCGGCAGTGAGGCAAAATCCAAATGTACCGCAATGACATTACAATCCAATAAGAGAACCGAACAGAGGTTATGAAAATAAGGTATAACCAGAAATTTAGGTATAAATAAAAACTAAGGTATAAAAAGAAATTTAGGTATAAACTAAAAACTTAGATATAAACTAAAAATTAAGGTATAAACTAAAAACCCTGTTTCAATCAGGGCTTCAAAACGTTTCACCAACAAAGCAGCGGCATTATAAATAATTCCTTCACAATGAAAATATCAATTCGAACAAATAACTTGAGTCTTTAACGAGACTGGCCAAACAATAAAATATGAAACATGCCCTCGTTACAACAAAAAGACTACATTTTTAAAAACTATATCTTACTTCGACTCGGACGAAATCCAAAGTGACGCCATCTTGCCTTTTCACTATAACGCGTCCAAATGTTGCCAGAACAAGAAAAACTAAATCGATAAATTACCATAGACGATCAACACCGACTATTATTCTCGTCCGTGTCACCGACCGGAGCTCGCTGAAACGTCATAAAATTCAACTGACAAACCAAAAACACGTCGATGATTCAATTTTCTGTAATGGTGCGAAATGCACCGTTACAATTCCTAGCTACTAAGCGTCCCAGAGTAGCCACGTTCTGCTTATAACATTGTTGGCATTGACGTCGAACGACTTTAGATGATCCTTCTTTTTTCGCCAGTTCATGTTTAGCTCTCTTCGGTCTCGATGAAAGAGGTTCGGACGTTATGCCTTTTGTTAGGAAATCTGTCATAATTTCTTTTCTAAAATCTACATTAGGAATGTTCTTCTTTGTTACACTTTTGTAGAGAGTGAGTGCATTTACAACAGCTACATTCAAAATTAAGTCTATGGCCACTTTTTTGTACCACTTCACAGTTTTCCTAAGTGGTGTTTGGTACGCTGACATTTGATCTGACAAATCAACAGCACCTTTGGCTTTATTATAGTCGACAATAATTGCAGGTTTTGAGATAACTTTGTTACGCTTTACCGCTCTCACAAAACGCGTAGAGTGTTTTGTGGACAAAACCAAGACATCTCGTTTATCCTTCCATCGCATCACTGTTATTCCATCAGCACTTTCTTTAGCAATAAATTGCCCTCTTTTTAACTTCGTAGAAACTATTGTTTTAGGAAAATGTCTCCTGTTTTTTCTTAACGTTCCGACAAGATGTGTCTCTCTATCTAACAACTTTCTTGCCAATTCAATATTTGTGTACCAATTGTCTGTGAAAAGAGTGTGCCCTTTGTCGATCAAGTCATTACATAGTTCCATAACTACATTTGTAGGTGTAGTGTTAATTTCGTCATTTTGTTTGCCAGCATAAACGTTAATTTTATAGGTATAACCTGGCAATATACATAATTTAAATAGTTTTACTCCATATTTATGACGCTTTTGTTTATTATACTGACGAAAGATTATGCGTCCTCGAAAAGGCACAACACTCTCGTCGATGCATAAATCCTCACCAGGGATGTAGTTTTCCTTAAAATTGTGATTCATTACATTCAATAAATTTCTTACCCGGTGTAATCGATCAGCTTTGTTCTCCTCATCTTGTTCTGAAAAATGTAGCATTTGAAGCAATATCTCAAACCGATTACGGGACATAACGGTTCTTGGGAAATTTAGTCCCATAATTTCATCTTTGGACCAGTAGTCTGATATTTTGGGTAACTTCACCAAGCCCATAAACAAAACCAAACCAAAGAATTTTTTTATCTCGACAAGGTTAGTAGGCAGCCAGTTCCGAATGCGTGCACATTTTGTAGCTTCTCGTGATTTAACTATTTTAGCAATTGCAAAGTTATTAGTGTTTTTCACTATTTCGTTAAAATCATCATCCGTCACCAAAAGCGCATAAAATTCTGCTGGAGATTTGTTACAACACTACGAAGTAACAGTGACTAGCCGAGGGGCAAGTAAGTGCGAGGTGCGTAAGCGGCGCGGGTGCATGGGGGGGGGGGGGGGGGGGGGGTCGTCATCGTGCCCGAGCGGCCCTCTGTAACAGATTCCCGGTATTCCTTGCGCAGAGGCCACGTCGGTCAATAGTGGGTGACGCTTATTAACACTTAAAATAGGTATAAAATGTTGCTTCTGAGAATTAAAACATGTTTTATGGCGTCAAATATATCCCTTTAACTAATAAAATACACTGATGAAATATGACAAAAAAAATATTAATTTTTGTCTGGCTCCAGATGAAAACGGGGTGTCAACCACCATTGTCCGACGCGGCATAGAACGTGTTAAGGGTCTTAAACCATTTAAATATGCATATTTGACACACTGTTTTGCAAGGCAGTGTCATATACCATATATGGCTCTTAGTGAATTAAACAACACAACAAGTAGATAGCATAGGTTTATTAAAAAAAATACGTAATTAATGCTGTTGAACTTATAAAAAAATTATAACAACATATAAAAAGCAATTTCTCTATTGCATTTCACCTAGTGAGTGAGGTTTCCGGAGCCCAACCCCTCCTATATCCCCCCGTCATGATTTATGTTGATATTAATTAATTGAACACAAAATAATGTAAATATTTCGCAGGTAAACAATATGATGTGTAATATTAAAGAATAAAAAAAAATTGTTTTTAACAGGTTCCCTGTCCCATGTATCACATATGATACACGGGACAGTTTTTGTACCAACTTTAGAACGCTCATGTATCAAATTTGAGCAAAGGTATACTTCAATTCAAGGCCCATTTTTTATCGGACGTAGCAGATCAAAATCAATTTTTAGTAGTAAGAACATTGTCTAGTTTAAAAAAAAACAAAAAACCATCGTGATTTTTTGTCGTAAGTATGTTTTTTTTCTCTGTCAAAATTTATTACTAAAATAGATATTCAAGTAAAACAAAAGCATGGCACATAAATTGTTTATTTAGTAAAATGAAAATAAGAAAAGACAGAAATCAATTAAGAATTTATTTATTGATAATCTATTTGTGCACCTCATTGTAACACGCCAAACAATAACCTTTACCACATTCTAAGCACTCCGTGTTTACTTGCTTTGCCTTGGAGAATTGCCCTTCCTCCTTTTTTTTCGCGTAACGTCGTACACATCGACGTCTTATAATCTTTCCGTCTCGCCGTGGTATCTCTGATAGGTGACGTCTCCTTGGGTTTCCTGTGGATAATCTAACAGTCTGTTTTTTCTGGACATCATCGCCAAGCCAATGACGAATCATCGCCTCTTGGATTTTCAATATACTAACTGAACATCCAGTTGCCTCAAGAAAAACTACTCTTGTATTGACGAGTACGGCCTGAAATAGTAAATCAATCGTAATTTTCTTGTACCACGTGAGGCTTTTCCGCAGCGGCGAGTAGTAGCTACATAGCTGATCAGCTACGTCAATGCCCTTTTTGGCGTCGTTATAGTCGATAACCATGTTTGGTTTCGAAGACTCACCTCTCCAAGAAGAAACATTTGTCATTCCATCATAGTGGCACGTCGATATCATCAGGACGTCTCTCTTGTCATGCCACTTCAAAACTGTTACATAACTATCCATTTGCCTTGCCACGACGTCGCCACGTTTGAGCTTCTTTTTTGTGACAGCGTCAGGAAGACACGTTTTCTTTTTTCGCAACGTTCCACATAAATCTGTCTGCCTATCTTTGAGATACTTCGCCAGACCAATCCCTGTGTAACATTGATATACGAAAAACCCAAGATACACAGTCTCGAACTAAAGTAACACTTGAATCTGTCTCCAATCACACTTGAGTAGTTATAGTTATGTTATAAACATATTTTTTTGCAAATTTAACCTTACGCACATGATATAAAGCTCTTTTTACAAAGCAGTGTACAAAAAGCAATAAAATTTGACGACCGAAGTCTGCTGGTAGGACAAGGCATGGAATGGAGACTTCATTATGTTTATACTTTTTATTTTTATACTACGTTCACTTAATATTTTAATAATTTATAAAAATATGTTCTCAACTTATAATTATACTTTTATCTCAGTATATATATATTTTTGAGTGGAACATGTATTTATCAATAAAACACATGTTAACCATTAAAAAATATTTATTTGTATATTTAGTTGAAAAGGTAATATTGTAGAAACTAAGTACCTAGATATTTAGTTTATGATGATTGCGTATTGGTGGTGAAAGTTTTTTGAATTTTGGTATCATGCATCAAATTTAAGTTGGTGGTGATGAGTGATGCTTCTTATATTTAAAATGACATAAATACATATTTTTATAAGAAATAAAATTAAAGTGTCTGTTCTTAATATCAGAATTACAGTTTTTATGATTACATATATGAATATTTTTACAATATTTATTTAACGATACATTACCAAAATTACAATTTTTTTAAATGCATATGTATAGTGTTTATTCCAAGTAATCACCGAAAGTGCAGGACCATACAGTAAAAATAACATTGTTGCTACTAAGTCGTATAATACAGGGTGGCGCAATAGAACGTGCATATTTAAAATATTGATTAGAAAATAAATACAAAAGGTATAGTTAAAATAAAACTGAGGTATTATTAAGAAATAACTGAAGTTTATTTTTTAAAAATAACATCGTCTAAATGATGACCCTCTCTACGACGACACTCCTCTAATCGCAAACGGAAGTTATTGAAAACTTTCTTCAGTAATGCTGGTGTAATTGCTGCCATTCCACCACGGATATTCTCCTTGAGCTGATCGTTGTTTTTCGGATTATTACTGTAGACTTTGTTCTTGAGGTATCCCCACAAAAAAAAGTCAGGAGGCGTCACGTCTGGACTACGTGGGGGCCATGGGATATCACCTCTTTTCGAAATCAGTCTGCCAGGGAACATCTGTTTCACAACCGCCATGGAGTCATTTGATGTGTGACAGGTAGCTCCGTCTTGTTGAAACCAAGTCCTAGAATTCACTATTCTTGAATTTTCAAGCTCTGGAGCCAAAAAACCTTCCAACATCGCAACATAGCGTTCGGTATTAACAGTGACGTTTTGCCCCCGCGCATTTTCAAAGAAAAACGGTCCAATTATTCCTCTACCAGAGATTGCTGCCCATACTGTCACTTTAGGACTATGCAGTGGTTTCTGGTGCTTGAGTTTGGGATTCTCACTGTTCCAGTAACGACAATTTTGACGGTTTACGAACCCATTGATATGGAAGTGGGCCTCATCTGAGAAAAGGATATTGTCAAAATTGGAAAATCGATTAAGCATTTCATTAGCAAATGCGAGCCTTGCTCCGAAGTCAGACTCTTTCAATTCTTGTGTTAACTGCAGCTTGTAAGGATGCAGTTTAAGATCCAAGTATAAAATTCGTTGCAAACTTCGTCGCGATAAGTGTAAGACAGACGATCTCTTACGAGTAGACATTTGTGGATCTCCTCGTACAGACTGCATAACTCTCTCAATATTGTCGTCGGTCCTAGATGTTCTTGGACAACCTTTTGCTTGTGGTTTAAACGTTGAACCAGTCTCTTCAAAACGCTGTACCCATATTTTAATTAAATTAGCACTCGGAGCTTTACTAATTTGCCGTAGTCCATATTCAGAACAATATAAACGCCTAGTAACGATGTATGAACGAGAGTTCTCGTAAAATGCGCGCACGCAAAATGCGCGACGCTTCCCGTCGAAGTGACTCATAGTGACTAAAACTCCATGAGCCCGCCTACCCAACGATGCAGGCTCCCCCCGCCCGCGCACTTTCTACCCCGCGAAAAAAGATGATGCAATATGCACGTTCTATTGCGCCACCCTGTATGATTACATAATATGAATATTTTTACATTATATATTTAACGATAAGTACATTATCAAAATTACAATTTTTATGTGTCTGTTTGTTCCAAGTAATCACCGAAAGGGCTGGACCGTACAGTAAAAATAATATTGTTGCTACTAAGTCGGATCTTACAAAAATATTTCCAACAAAAAATTGAATGTATACGTGTAAACGAGGATAGAAAAACACATTAATTTCCTTGGAATAAGTTAAGTTTGTCGTAGAGTTGTCTTTTTGAACTAGATTTCAGATTTTCTGTAGTTTTTTTTGCTATATAATGTAAACGAACATCTATAAACTTTTCTATAATAGCTTTTGTCAAACTAATTTTGTGATTGAATAAGGCAGGTTGTTGAAGGGAATGTGTATCAATACTAGAAAATAGATTTAAATGTAACATATTTTTTTAAACTAGGGAACACAAATAGGCCTTGGTTGTGTTTTTTTGATCATGTATGCGCTGTTCTCGTCTTATTACCTCCTCAGTTTTAGTACATATAGTGTAAACATCTTCACTAGCGTAACATAGTCCACCAAAATCCTTCAAATCAATTAGTTTATGAAACCATAATTTATTTCGAGCTAGTGTAGCATCTTTGCAGATGTCACATTTAATTTTTTTTAGAATATGTCTGACCACAAACCCCGCAATGTATCCAACAATTTGATTAACATATTCAGAGCTGGAATGATTTAATGAATCTGATAAGATATCACAATTATTTTGATATGTGTCATAACTGCTATCTTCGACTGCCAAATATTCGTTTTCTATATCAAAACGATATCCAACGCTAGTGTGGTTAATGTTTGATACAGTTGCCCCACAATTCAAAATAGGCACATTTTCCAAAGGAACAGAATCCCTGTAAATTTGGAACCGAGTTCCAGATGCATTAAAAGTTTTTGAGAAAAAAGAAAAAGAACCCTCCTTGGCTCCTTATATTGCCAAAGAAGAGCTCAACATGATCCTGGCTAAACGTATAGGTTAATATATATGACAAATAACCGGTTTCCACATAACTAGCATATAAACGTTGTACACTTTCAATACAAACAAGTAATCCGACTATTCCTGTATTTGCTTGGCAATTATATACATATACTTTGTCATGAGAAAATATTATTCTCGTTTCTCCATTCTTCTTGATGGTGCGTTTCCTCTGAACCATAATATAAAGCGATAACAAATATGATTTTGATGTTTGGAAAAACTTAAAAACGTCTTTTGAATTGATGCTACTTAGGGGTCTTTTGAAACCACCGGAGTTGAAATTCTTTGAATTAATTTGATTTGAGTCGTTATTTGCTATTCCTATGTCGACTAAGCCCTCATAATTCTTTCGCTTCCAGATTTTTTGCTGTCGAATTGACATCTCATCCACTACTAATGAACATAACAGGGATTTTTTTGAATTTTTAACCTTTTCTGTGAGTCTTTCTATTGCTTCTTGTGTAAAGCCTGGTTTTGCTTCAACACTTTTGTACCAGTCATGCAAAGTGTTTGTATGAGGTAGGCAGGTGTTGTACATCTGCCGTATAAATTTATAGGCTGCTGGTGAGTAGAAATGTAGAGTTAATGCAAATTTCCTGACCTGTGGAGGATACTTAGAATATCTCTTCTTCTTTATTACATTCTTTAAAAAACTAGAATTGAACGATTCAGATGGGGTTATATGATTGGTTAAACTTTTAGTGCATTCTTTATTGAAATGTTTTTTTTAATTAGCCTTCTGCGGCATTTGTGCAGTTCGCTCTTATAGTAACTTTTCGAGGTGTATCCAAAATTGAGCCGTATAGGCTCAATTTTAGAGAAGTAGTAGGAGATTTGAATTCCTTTTTGTTATCTAAAACGAACATGGTAGGACCAACTTCAGTATCATCGCCATTGTCCGGTTCAATCTGTAAGCAACATGAAAGTGATAAGTAACTATAAGAATACCAAGTAACATTTTATTGTAAAACGGAAATAAAGTTCCATCCGTTCTTCACTGTAGTTACTTACAATCTTAAGGACTTGAAAAGATATGATTATTAAAAATAATTATTCGAATCAAGAGGTACCTAATAACGATACTAATTCGACAAACTATTTTCTGGGTACCCATAGTTACTTACCGCTACACGAGGAACAGCCGTTTTAAGAACACGTTTTATGCCTTTTGAAGTGACATACATATCTTCGTCCAAAAAATGTTCTGAACAAACTACACTTGATCTATTTGGCTTAAAAAAAAATCTTCACGCCTTTGCTGACTGACGATTGATTTCCACTATTCACATCGTATTGGGTCACGAGGAAAACTAAAATATTAAAATTAGAAATTATATAGGAGGTATATAGTTGGTACATACCTACAAAAATCAGAAGTCCTAAGTAATCGAAATATACAGAAAATTTAAAAAAAAAATAGTCAACATGACTGCCTCTTCAACTTTTGAAAGTCTATTCGAAACTATGTTATATTGTATGATATATAAACATTAGTTACAAATCACACTCAAATAAAGTAAAAACGTGAACAAACTTATTATTCTTATTAATAAAAAAAAATAGTTCAATACTAAAAAATCGACTCCATTGGAAACGAACAGGGTCATTTTTATTAAGCGACTAATTTAAAGGACGTTGTAATGCGTTGTTCTTACACTGATACGAACCTATTGAAATCATTGGATTATCCGTTCATAGGCATCAATTGTTTCTTTCTGTAAGTCGTTTAGTAATTCATTATCATACTAGTTTAGACTCTCTCATGTTGAATGAACTGAAAGGTGACAAGGATTTAGGACGGCTCCTTGTCAAGACCGTTTTCCTCTACAGCTACGGACCCCCTATTATATTGGACCGTTAAGTGAAGATTTTAGATAAAATAAATCAAAATCACATAATACTTCCTATATTTAGTCATGAAAACCAGAAAAGCAAATCAATAAACTATTTTACTTACCGAAAATAAGATATTCCATCCTTTTTTAAAGTTCTTGACGTATTATTTTTGCAATTTTTCATAGAACACTTTGGCATTTTTGTCGTGCGTGCATAAACATGGGCGATGCGAGACTATTTGAAATGAGCGCTCAATTTGGAGTTTAGCGCTCATTTTATGCGGACGGTTTTGATATCCTGACTGTGTATCTTGGGTTTTTTTGTATATCAATGCTGTGTAATAATTGTCCGCAACTACTAGTCTACCTTCGTTTAAAAGTGGCAGTCACAGTTTAGCAACAACAGATCCAGGTTTGTCAAGATCCTCTAGCGCTGTTCCAGATCCAGCGTGTATGGCGTAAGACCAGGTATAGGAATTGGTGGCACACATTTTATAAATTTTTATTCCGTATTTGTGAGTTTTAGCCGGATTGTAAGTTTTTATATGCAATCGCCCCTCGTGATTTATTTGCGCCTCATCCACTACAATTGTATCACTTGGCACATACAGTTCCCGAAATTTTCCTATCAGCTGATCAACTAATGGTTGGATCCGATACAGCACATCATCGTTATCGGGCTGGACATCTGCAAAATGCCAGCAATGTAATATTGTACTAAATCTATTGTAAGATAAACCTACGTCATGAATAAAAGGAGTATAATACAATCTAAAAATTTTTCAATCATTTATTCAATTACAACAGATCCATTTTCCAATAGTGTTCAACGTATGGTTTTTTGTCTATTCCCATATAAAGAATAATAGAGAAAAATTTCTACATTTCTCTTCTATCTACATCTACCCAACGTGACATCCTTGAAAATTGTTTTGTGCGAACCTGCTTCATAATAGCGGCATATGCATTCGTTTTTGTTATCATATTGTCAATAATATCCTCATTTATAAAGAATTCTACTATATTTGGGATAGTAACAACTCCTTCTTCGTTTGTAATAGCTTGTATATTTTGAATACCGAAATTTCCTGTAAAAGGTTCTCTTCCAATCGGGAGGACATCTTCAACCCATTCCTCTTGGTTGTGAGGATGCTGCTGCCTATCATTACCGTCAAAAAAGGATGTTGATGGTTCGCTTACCGGTATTTGTTCTTGACGCCTACGTGATGTTATTCTAATTACCTCCCTTTTTATATCACTTAGACTCTCTTCTTGGTTTTCTTCACTATCCTCATCATCAACAGGTTGATACATTTTGTCACTCCCGTCACTAAAATTATTTTCCTCTGCACTATCCTCTAAAATATCTTCCTCCGTGTACCTCGAACGTGAACCCATTTTCACTTACAAATTAGAACAATAACAATAATTATGAAAAAAGTCACTGTTTTTATGTTATTATGAAAAAATTGTTGACATAACCTATAAATTGCAATAACCGCGAAACGTGTCAAAAACTAATAATTGACAGGTAATTATTGTCTATTGTTTTACACGTTTCAACAGATTATAAATACATGTATAATAAATGATCAAAAACGTTGTGAGTGAAATTTCATCTTGACACGCTCGTGTATCATATCTGATTCGTTTTTTTTTTACCTATAACTCTGCTGAATTATATAAATTATCTTCTAAAATAAGTTCATGAACTTTAAAAATACCAACAGAAACTTATTTAAGAAAAAAAACGCGGGGCGTGTGGCACTTTAAAAATTTTTAAGTATAGGGACAAGGAACCTGTTAAGTTAATGTAAGTCTATGTTCCATACAAATGAATAAACTAACTGGTGCTGCACCACAAATTCTAACAAAATCAATAATTTCGGGCGCCAGGTGCCGGCTTAAATGGACATAGACAACTAATAACAAATACAATAATTACCTCGAATAACTCGGTCAGCGCTTAGACTTTTAATCTAGGGTGGGGGGCAGCTAATCAATAAAGAGATGTTATAAGATTAAGAGGCAGTTTGTCTGTAGAGTACATGGTATATTATAGGTCTAATTACAAATGTAATTCTTATTCTCAAATTAGTACTGTCATTAATGCAATCTGTTAAACTTGATAATGCAAATTGAAAGTAAAATATCTTTAAAAAGTTACATAAAGACTGTTTAATAAATAAAGAAACTAAAGGTAGTTATCATAACAACCTACTCCCATAATAATAATAACGCCAACAAAATTAATACAACAAGAAACATACCAATAACTCTGGCACAGTCCGTTTGGAACTATGATATAACTGACTCTTATAAGGCTCACTCCTGGTTTCCACGTGGCTCGCCGCGTGGCGGGGTAAGTAATCCAGTCAGAGGACTTTTCCTGCCATTAGAGGTACTTAAGAATGGAAATCCACTCTCCGAAGCAAACTAAATCCTTGGATTGGGCAGGTAGTGAGGTAAAAAACTAATTGTAACGTAAGGACATTACAATCTTATAAGAAGAAAACCAGAAACAAACAAACCAGAGATAAAAAACCCTGTTTGGCACAGGGTTCCAAAACGTCTCACAAATAAATCAGAGGCATTACTAATAATTCCAAAAAAGGTAAAATAACATTTCCAATAAACAACTCGTTTCCTTGACAAGACTGGCCAACAATAAAAGGTGAATTAAACACCCATTAGGAATTGAATATCTAACAAAGATAACAATATCCAAGGAGTGCGGTTGGACACCTTCGTCACCGACTCTAATGGAGTTATGAAACTTTACAAAATAAACCTAAGACAACAACAAAATAAACCTAAGACAACAACAAAATAAACCTAAAACAACTTCCATTAGGAATTGAATATCTAATAAAGATAACAATATCCAAGGAGTGCGGTTGGACACCTTCGTCACCGGCTCTAATGGAGTTATAAAACTGTACAAAATAAACCTAAGACAACATCCATTAGGAATTGAATATCTAATAAAGATAACAACTTCCAAGGAGTGCGGTTGGACACCTTCGTCACCGACTCTAATGGAGTTATAAAACTGTACAAAATGAACCTTTTTTTTTTTTTTAACGTGTGGAAATCCCCTTGGACCGTCACCCCTCCGGGGTTTGCGGCGGGGTGGTGTGTCGGACTCGGACCGACTAAAACCACACGGTGTGCCACTCTGCGCCTGTAACAGGAGGGATCCGGGAACAGCTGTTGTTAAGACATCCGGACCCCTCCTAGCGCCAGCCCGCTCCTGGTGCGGGCTCCGTCTCAATGTTGATGTTCCTCTCTTTAGGCGACGTCCGGCACACGCGGACGCCGCCCCCTCGCGGCTGGCCAAACTAATGCGGGTGGAGGGGAAACCCACCCCGTCCACCCGCGGCCACACTCAGGGCGGCATGAGGCTGTGATAGGCGGGCCTCCGCCGCCCGGTTCGCCGGCGGCGGATCGGGTCCGAGTGGAGGTCGTCCTCCCGGGCCCTCTCCGCCGCCTCCTTCCGCGAGATTACTACCTCGCAGAAGGTTGCGACCGCGGTAAAACAACTGTCGCTACCGGCCATGGAGCGTACTACGGCCGGTAGCGAGAGATCCACTCCGATGACTCCCATGCGGGGCAGACCGCCAGCGTGTGCTGGGCCGAGTCCTCACTGCAGTCGCAGTGGTGGCAGGCGGGACTCAGTTCCCTCCTAGCGACCGAGTGTAGGTACTTTCCGAAGCAACCGTGCCCGGAAAGCACCTGCGTCAGCCGGAAGGAAAGGGTCCCGTGCTGCCGCCCTGCCCACTCGGCGATGACCGGCCGGAGAGCCTCCACGGCGGCGAAGCCAGCGCGTGGAGTCTCCAGCCGGAACGACCAACGAGCCATCGTGGCTCGGCGAGCGGCTTCGCGCCACTCGCGCACATCCTCGGGCGGAGGGCGAAATCCGCTCTCCGCCCGGGAGTCAGCCACTCGCCGATAAACTTCGGCGAGCACTTCCGCCTCCAAATCCCACGGGGGAGTTCCGGCCAACGCGCATGCCACCTCCGTCGAAACGGTGCGGTAACCGCCGTTGACCGGACAACCCCCGTGTACAGCCGTCTTGTTGCCCTAAGTCGCCCTAGGGCAGACGCAGCGCCGACCAGCTTTGGAGCAAGCTGTCGGAAGTGCTCGTCGAAGAGCCACCTCCCGAGTCGAGGATCAGGCCCAGATATTTCATCTGGGCCCGAACCGGTACGAGGACCGAGTTGACCACGATTGAGGCGCCAGGGGGTGGACCACGACGGGGCCCATGAAATAACCTCCGTCTTATCTAGGGCCACCCGTAAGCCCAGCGCCTCAATGCGCCCGACCACCAGGGAGACTCCCCCTGTGGCCAGGCGCGCCGCCTCTTGGAAGTTTGCCCCCCGGGCTGTCACTAGGGTATCGTCTGCGTAACAGATTACACCCAGCCCGGGGGGGAAATCGGCGCGAAGGGCCCAGTCGTACCCTATGTTCCACAAGAGGGGTCCAAGAACAGACCCCTGTGGAACACCGCACGACATGGGCCGACACCTCAGATTGCCTTCTCGGTCCTCGTACACGACGGTACGCTCCTCTAAATAGTCTGCCACTAGCCGCCTCAGGTACTTTGGCACCCCATGATAGTGGAGTGCTTCCCTGATGCAGCTGAATGGCAGACTATTGAATGCGTTGGCGATGTCTAATGACACCGCCAACAGCACGCCGCCACAGCTCACGGCCTCTTCGGTCACGGCCCTCAGGCGCAACACGGCGTCGACTGTCGAACGCCCCGCCCGAAAACCAAATTGGGCGTCCGACAGATCGGGGCCCACCTCGCAGAGGTGCCGGACGATGCGGGCAGAAAGAACCCTCTCAAACAATTTGCCCGCCTCGTCCAGCAGCACGATGGGCCTATAGGCCGCGACCGAATCGGCAGGCCGTCCCGGCTTCCTTAATAGGACCAGCTTCCCGCTCTTCCAGCACTCAGGGAAGCTAGCGTCGAACACCTCCCCGAGGCGGTCTGCCATGTGGTTGAGGGCCAGGGCCAGCACTCGGGCCGGTACCCCGTCTGGCCCAGGGGCGGTGTTCTTGGAACGGATCCGTAGAACAGCCGCCCCTACCTCCGAATCCCGGACGGGCGGAACATTATCCTCCCCGTGCTCCCCGTCGTCTCCGGCCAGGGAGGCCATCGACGGGGGAGTGTGTTCCGCTCGTTGTGGGAAAAGGCCCTCAACCACTTCTCGCAGGAAGCTGGGCTGGAGAGTCTCCGTAAGGGGGGGGCCCGACGCGCGGAGCTTTTGTCGCACCGCGCGGTAAGGGCGACCCCAGGGGTCACGATTAAGACCCTCCAGCATCTCCTGTCTCTTTTCTTCTTTGGCGCGGCTAATGGCCAGCTTCAGAGTTTTCCGCGCCCGTCGGTACTCCTCATGAAGCCGGTCCTCCTCACCGTCTCCACGGTGACGCCGCCGACTGCGCGTGTAGGACCTCCGGGCACGTGTACAGGCCGCACGGAGGTCCGCCAGCTCCTGGGACCACCAGTAGACTTCCTTCCTTGGAGGCCGACGACCTCGAATGCGGGGCATGGCCGCATCGCATACATGCGTAATCGCATCGCGAAAGCGACCAGCCCCCACGTCGACCTCCTCGGTCGGAGCCTGAGGAGACAGCCACGAGTGAATTATGGCTGCCTCCTCTAGTAGGTCCCGGTTCAGTCTGGCAACAGCCCACCGCGGAAAGCGGGATAAACGCCGCGCCACGTGACCCCTACTGGAGTCCTGGGTCCGGGAGAGCTCAAATCGGATATACAGGTGATCCGAGAGCGTCTCCACCTCTTCCAGGACACGCCAGTTCCTTACTCGTGCGGCGAGGGCAGGGGTAGCGAACGAGAGGTCCACTATCGACCCCCCCTGCTGTCGCACGCACGTGTTGGTGGAGCCTCTGTTGAGAAGACAGAGGCCCACCGAGGCCGCCCACTCCTCTACGGCCTCGCCCCTTGCGTCCATTGCGTGGGGGTCCTGGGGGAACCCCACGCAATGGACTTTGCGTTGAAGTCCCCCAGCACAAGGACGTGCCCAGACGCTAGTCGCCGTATCGAGGTCTCCAAGCTGGTTAGGAAAACCTCGAAGTCGTTCAAACTCCGGTTGGGGGAGAAATAAACACCATATATGGTGATCCCCCCCCACTCGACGGCAACATATCCAGTGCCCTTGTCTCTTAGCGACAAGGGCGGGGAATGAGCCGTCGTGGAACCGACGACTGCCACGGAGCCGTCCCAGTCACCCATCCAGTTTGGACGGGGAGGGACAGAATAGGGCTCCGCGACTACGGCAACACCTATCGACCGCTGTGCCATGGTTTGCAGGAAGAGATCCTGCGCCGCGGCACAGTGGTTCAGGTTCGTCTGGACCAGGAGGTTGGAGACT